TGATTCCAGCTCCAGCCCCCAGACAGGCTAAGAATATCCCTGAAAAGCAACAGCCACCACCCCCGGCCTTTCATGATCTGCTCCTACACCTGGAGTGCTAGGCTGGGTGCAGGCAGGGGCAGGGAAGAGACAGGGGGCGGGGGCATGGTGGGGCAGGGGGTGTTGCTTGGGGTGGGGGTGAAAGGGAGGAGGCAAAACAGGAGGAGGTGAACTGAAATGAAGCTGCTGGAGAGTACTGGAAGGATTGGGCAGGAAAACACTATTTGGGTGGGGTGGGAGGCAACAGGGAGATGAAGGCAGGAGCCAGGGGGATGGGAATAGAAGATCCAGGGATGAGGAGGGGGAAAGGCTGGTGGCATCGATGACCTGACGGGGGGGGGGGGGGGTGGGGTAAGACTTTATTAAGGAAGGAAGCAGAGCTTATGGCACAGAAAATGGAGCCCCAGCTCCCCCTTATCTTCCACTGGCCCTTAATCCTGGGCCCTCTAGCATCTCAGCTTTGGTCCCTTCTCTCCCTGCCCCAGGGCACCTCTCCATCATCTGTGCTTATCAACTCTACTCAGCTCTAAAAAAAAACACCCCACATTTGGGCTCCCTCAAGAAAGTCCTTCTAGCAAGGGACCTGTTGGAATGGAAAGACCTTGAGAAGGTGGGGGTCTCCCTCCTGGCTGCCAGCAGCACATCCTTGGTCAGGTTCATCTCTTCTCTCTGCTCACCCCCCTTCCCTACTCCCCAGTATTTTCAGGAAGGGGTTTTGCTCCCTTCGTTGCCTCCCCAGGGACTTATCCCTCCTTACCCCAGCCCCCCCTAGGGGAAAGTCCTCAGGAGAGGGAGGGAGAGCTAGGCTGGTGCACAGGCTCTCCGTTTGCACACCAAAGGAGCTGAGACCCTGGATGGGGGTATTAAATGGGAGGGGAAGCAAGGTCCAGGCATTCAGATGCCCAGGCTGAGTCTTGACCCTTGGTGTTTTAAGAACCTGCATTGTCATCAGCCTCTTTGTGGGGATTCCTTGGAGATATGGAGGTGTAATGACCTTGGGTCCTGGGATCTCTGGCCTTGACATTTACTGGGGAAACCCTGGACCTCAGCTAACTTGGCATCCTGTCCTTTGTCTCACCATCTTTCAGTGGCCCCTTTAAAGCATTGCTGAGAACTTGAGCACCCCTCCCCTTTGTCTCCTTGGCCAAACTGAAGAAGTGCAGGCCTCACGCGGATGCTGTGACATGGAGACTGAGAGCAACAGGCTGAAGCAGACGAGGGAGAACCAGACAGGGCTGGAGCGAGGGAGTGAAACAGATTCACAGGATGGATTTATTTAGAACCAGAATCTTGAAACTGGGAGAGACTTTAGGAATCCTTTTTAAGTTCAATCCCCAAGAGGTTATCTTATTCCTTTAGTATTCATTTTTTATCTGATAATAAAAGTAAACTATATAGAGTCCCTACATTTTAATATTTAAAAAGAGGCCCAGAGAGCTGAAATAACTTCCCCAAGCCAAACAGGTTATAAGCCATGGGCTAGAACTCCTTCCCCCTAGACTACAGACTCTCGGGAAGGGGGATGAAAACAGCCAAGGGGCATAAGAGTCTGAGCAGCATTGCCTGGAGAGACTTCCTTAATGGTGGATCAGCTCCCGGGGGTCAGAGGGGCTCATCTCAAAGGTGAAATCGTGACTCTCACCAATAAGGCCGTGTTTCTGCATAGGCTAAAACCCGGGTGTAGGTCCTCCAGTTCTTGGTTTAGGCCTACAGTTCTGACCTTAAAGAGCCTTCAGAAGTAACTGCTTATCTGGACAGGGCATCGTTCTCCTGGGTGACAGAGACCGACGAGGAGCCCGGCTCCAGGGGGTTCTCATTCAGGGAGTCTAACACAGCCAGCACCGTCCCAGAGAAGCATGTACGTCCAGAAAAGTACACTTGCAGATGCGGTGGGGACGTCACTCTCCTTCCGCAACGCCCACTTTTTCATCAAGTCTTTCTGGTGTCACTACGCTACCCCTCTTGGCCTCCACCTTATTGAGACGAAACCTCCCTCTCTTCTCCCTTAATGCCCCCAGCTTTTTAAAATAGGTTTTATTTATTTATTTTTAAAAGATTTTATTTCTTTTGAGAGGGGAGAGAGAGAAACATCGATGTACAGGAAGAACATTGATCAGGTTGCCTCTCACTCACCCCCATCTGGGGGCCTGGCCCGAAACCCAGGCAGGCAGGAGCCGTGACCAGAATTGAACCTGAGACCTGCTGGTTTGTGGGAGAATGCCCACCCCACTGAGCCACACCTTCAGGGCTCTCCAGCTTTTTTTAATGACAGAAATGCTATCATTCTTTATGGATCTGTTTTTATTATTCTGTATGCTTTTCTTTTAAAATTCCACCCATATCCATCCTCCATATCTCGGACTGGGGACTCAGAGCCCAGCCCTTAACCAAGCTGTTTGTAGCAGCTGCTGCTGGGAGAAGAGCTTAGAAAGATTGATGTCAGGAGCATTCGGCATTAGGTCCCTTCCAACCAGTCCAAAAGTGCTCCTTGGAGGAGGTGGGATTTCAAGAGCTGGACAGAGGCAAGGTAGTGAGGTTTTGGGGGTGGGGAGGGGGGTGGGTGCAGGGGTAGGAGTTAGAGATTCAGGAGGGATAACCACATGAGGGGTGCAGGGAGTGGGTGAGCCAGAGTGGGTCTGAGGCAGGGATCAGTGAAGAATGAGAAGGGGAAGGTGACCTTTTAAGGCACCCGTTCCAGGAGCCTGAAGCAGAGGAGGAAATTCTTTTTTTTTTTTTTTTTTTTTTAAGATTTTATTTACTTATTTAGAGAGAGGGGAAGGGAGGGAGAAAGAAAGGGAAAGAAACATTGTGTGGTTGCCTCCCGCGTTGCCCCCACGGGGGATCTGGCCCAGAACCCAGGCATGTGCCCTGACTGAGAATCAAACCGGCGACCCTTTGGTTCTCAGCCTGCGCTCAATCCACTGAGCTACACTCAGCCAGGGCAGAGGAGGAAATTCTTGAATCCGACCCAGAGGACAACAGGAAGTCAAGCTGGGCCTGGAGGGGGCAGGTATCATGGTGGTGACATCTGTGGGTGCTGCACAGAAGATCTTGCCCTAAACAACACCAGCAAAAGGCCTCATGTCAATGAAGGACTCCAGGGAGCAGAGCTGGGAGGATCCACGTGCCATTCAGATCCACGTGCCTGGTGTTTTTGCGGGTGCAACGCAGTCTCTATGGGGCCTGTCCTTAACTACCTAGGAACCGACTGTTTCCTGAGTGTCAGACAAAGGCTGACTCAGAAGGGCTTGTAGGAAAGGGTGGGACCAATTCTAGGAGCTGAAAACAGGGAGAATGGGGAGGCTGAGCAGGTCAGCTTGGGCTCTGAGAGAATAAAGATCAGATCTAAGGGAGCATGAGAAACCCTGCTGAGACAAGGCATGTGGGCGCCAAGTCAGGGAGGGCCTCAAGTCTGCAAGTGTACACCGGCAAAAAAAAAGGAATCAAGAGAAGCAGACCACAGGCCTCCAGGAGGGTGTGAGTAAGCAGGGGCTGTAGGGCAGCTGAGCAAAGCTGGCAGCATGCGCTGCACCTAAGGGGACTGGAACAGCCTATTCAGAAGAAACCATGTGCTCCTGTGCACACATACCATCCAGGACAGCAGTGGATTCTTGGAGCTGTGCTGGTGGTCTGTGAGGAGCATGGAGGGACTCCAGGGATAATTCTGAAGATTTTGATGAATCCACAAGCAGGGACTTCTCTCGCCATCATATCCCCCTTCCAGGCCCAGTTAAGAAGCTGAGGACTCCTGTGATGGGAGCCAGATAGTGGGCCTGGAGAAGGGTGGACACTGGTCCACAAGGCAGATAGAGCTTAGAACCACCTGGGCTCAGAACCTGCAGATAGGCCCTGGGGAGTCTCAAATACAGGACAAAGACTATGTGGGCATTGAAGAGAGAACAGACAGACAAACATAGAGAAATGCGTAGTACTCAGCCTAATAGTGTGCAGCTGGGAGTGGGGTCAGCTGGGACATTATGGCAAGAAGCTTTTAACAGTGAAAACCCAGCTCAACTTGGACCTGGGGCAGGGCTGGAGCTGTGCCAAGCCTTCTGGGCCTCCCTCTGCTCAGGAGGCCCTGTGTGCTGCCTGAGTCTGGGCAGACCAACCCATCCAATTTCCAGCATTCCCCAAGGGATCAACCATCACCCACCCAAGTGTGGGATCAGGGTGTGTCGGTTGAGATGAAGAGTGCAAGAGGTGCCACCCAGGGCCCAGAACCCCAGGCCAGAACTCCCCACAGAACTCAACTGTAGAGAACCAGGCCAGAAAACGCAGCCTCAGGGACATATATGAGCGTCTTGCAGTCCCCTGAGCAAGGGTCCCCAAGGAGGTGGATTGTGATCTGCAGGAAGACCCCGGCCCTGCCAGCACCCCATCACAGGCAGAGCGAAAATGCGCCTGCTGCAGCCCTCGTGGCAGCCCCGTGGGGTGGGAAGGGAGGGAGAAGAGCTAGGAGGGAATAGGTCAGACGGCCCAATTGAAGGAGCCAGTGCAGTGCGACCCAGCTGAAGCCAAGAAGCCCTGACGAGGGCACTCACTGCCTTTGCGGCCCCCCAACACATAATCAAAAGGGAAGAGAGGCTGCTCCCATGGCTTCTCTTCTACCTCGATCCATTGCATCAAAATAAGCTGGCCCTAGAACCTGCATTGGGTAAGTGGAAGCAGCCACCCCTCCTCCCTAGCTCAGACCCTACGCGGTCCCGGAACCACAGCCACCTCCTCCTCCTTCCCCCTTTCTGGTGTAGGGAAAGGACCGACGACGGAGGGTAAGGTGGGCGGGACTTGGGCTTGGCATACGAGTTTCTATTGGTCAGATGAGCTGCCGGTTAGGAGGGCAGCTCGGGCGAGGATTGGCTCCGTGGGGCGGGGCGCGGCGCGGCTTGAGAAGAGGCCCAAGGGGTGGGGCTGACGCTGCAGCTGGCGCAGCTCAGACTCTGAGCAGCAGCCGCGGAGCAGCAGAGCAGCCAGTTTCCCCCGCCCGTTCCCGCGCCCGGGCCGGGGCTAGGCCCCCCACTGCCGGGTCCCCGGGGGCTGCAGCAGCAGCGGCGGCGGCAGCGGCAGCGGCGCCGCCTGCGGTTCCCGCCGGGGCCCGGGCGCCGGCCCCTCTCTGCAGAATGGGCACGGTGCTGTCTCTTTCCCCCGCCTCTTCGGCCAAGGGCCGGAGGCCCGGCGGGCTGCCCGAGGAGAAGAAGAAGGCGCCGCCCGCGGGGGACGAGGCGCTGGGGGGCTACGGGGCGCCGCCAGTAGGCAAGGGCGGCAAAGGCGAGAGCCGGCTCAAACGGCCATCCGTGCTCATCTCCGCGCTCACCTGGAAGCGCCTGGTAGCAGCGTCTGCCAAGAAGAAGAAAGGCAGCAAGAAGGTGACGCCCAAGCCAGCGTCCACTGGCCCCGACCCCCTGGTCCAGCAACGCAACCGCGAGAACCTTCTCCGCAAGGGCCGGGATCCCCCCGACGGCGGCGGCACCACCAAGCCCCTGGCCGTGCCCGTGCCCACAGTGCCCGCAGCCGCCGCCACCTGCGAGCCGCCGTCGGGCGGCAGCGCGGCCGCCCCGCCGCCGGGCTCCGGAGGGGGAAAGCCGCCGCCGCCGCCGCCCCCAGCCCCGCAGGCGGCACCGCCGGTGCCTGGCGGCTCACCCCGGCGGGTCATCGTGCAGGCGTCCACCGGCGAGCTGCTGCGCTGCCTGGGCGACTTCGTGTGCCGACGCTGCTACCGCCTCAAGGAGCTGAGCCCGGGCGAGCTGGTGGGCTGGTTCCGCGGAGTGGACCGCTCGCTGCTGCTGCAGGGCTGGCAAGACCAGGCCTTCATCACGCCCGCCAACCTGGTGTTCGTGTACCTGCTGTGCCGCGAGTCACTGCGCGGGGATGAGCTGGCGTCGGCTGCAGAGCTGCAGGCCGCCTTCCTCACCTGCCTCTACCTCGCCTACTCCTACATGGGCAACGAGATCTCCTACCCTCTCAAGCCCTTCCTCGTGGAGCCCGACAAGGAGCGCTTCTGGCAACGCTGCCTGCGCCTCATCCAGCGGCTCAGCCCGCAGATGTTACGACTCAACGCCGACCCCCACTTCTTCACTCAGGTCTTTCAAGACCTCAAGAATGAGGGTGAGGCCGCCGCTGGCGTGGGGGGTCCACCCAGTGCGGGCGCGCCCGCGGCCCCCGCCTCCTCCTCGGCTGCCAGGGACAGCTGCGCGACCGGAGCCAAGCATTGGACTATGAACCTGGACCGCTAGGGATACCCAAAAGCCAAGCCTGCCCCCGCCCCAGCCCCTGACACGCACTCGGAGCCCCCGGGACCATCAAGCTGCCGCCGCTGTTACTGCTGCTCCGCACCCCGGGCGGAGGAGGAGCCGCCCCAGCCCCGCAGGGGAAGCTGGAGGCCTGGATGCTAGAGGCCGAGGCGTCTGGATTTACAGGGCGTGGGGTGGGAGTGGGGGGTGAGCGCGGGAAGGGACCCCCTACCTCAACCTTTCTGTCTACGCCCCCACCTCCCCAGCTCTGCCCAGGTCTGCTCCTTCCCTTCTGGGTGTGTCTGTAAGTCCGTCTTCCTGGGTCTCGTCCATTTCCTCACTTCCTCCCTGTACCTTATCTTCCCGCCTACCTGCCTTTCCACTTGCCTTTCCTTGGGTATGTATCTCCGTCTCCGTTTAACCCCCTGCCCATTTTTCTTTGCCCCCGTTTCTCTTTCTGTACCTGTGTCTCCATCTCCCCTGCTCGTTCTTTTCTTCCCTCTTGGCCTGTGCCCCCACCTTCCCCCATCTGCCTCTCCCCACCCCGCCTATGTCAGTCAATTTGCATTCTCTCCCCCAACTGAGCCCTCATGCGCTCCTCCCCAGGCCGAAAGAAACGTTACTTCTGATTTGGGAACGACTGGGGTGCAGTGGGCAACTGCAGCTGCTCGGGCTCAGCAACCACGGGGCGGCCCTTCACCCCACCCCCACCGTCCCCTCCACCTTTCCAACGTGTTGCATGCCGGGAGGTGGGGCCGACTTCGGGCGGCTGACCTTTGGGAGCAAACTCAACCTAGGAGTCCACCCCGGCGGCGGCGGCTGCGCCTCAGCGAACAGAGGAGAGACAGAAACTCTCCTTATTCAGGGGGAGGGGCGCCCTCTTTCTTATCCTTAGGTGTTTTCGGTTTCCTCCCCTTTTAATTTATTCGATTTAGTCGGTGGTTTCTGGAGGGAGGGGGGCGGGAGGGTTGGGCCGGGAGCTGTCTGAGGTGCTGATCCCGAGGCCGGACCGGACTCCTCCTGGGAGGGCACCAGGGGCTGGGTTGGGCCCGGTGCCGCATCCGAGGTGCCAATGATGCGGGCCAACGTGCGGGCCGCACTGTCTGTCTGTCCGTCTGTCCGGGAGATAACTATAAAGCGCTGGAAGCGCCTGTAGATGGTTTTGCGCCGGCTTTTCTTTGGGCCCCAGGAGGGCGGGAGCGGGATAGAGTTGTCACAGGCCGGGCAGGAGGCCCGCGGCGGCCGAGGGGGAGGTTGAGGCCCCGAGAACCGTCGCTCTGTCAGTTGCTCTGTCGGTCCAGGCCAGCGGTCCGGGTCACCGTCGCCCCCATGCCCCCCTCCACCTTGTGTGACCCAGCTCCGTTAACAGCCAGTTCACTTTTGGATTAAATGACGAGGAAGTTGTCCCCTTTTTACAGAGTGGCCCATCGAGGCAGAACTGACTAGTTATTGTGGCCGCTTTTCTCTTCGTCCTCTGCCTCTCCCCGCCATGCAGCCCGGCGAGAGTCCCAGCAGACCCAAGTCTGCGTGCGCGGCGCTCCGGCGGCCGACCGCACCGTGCAGGCCACCGCCTACCCCGCTGCTCGGCTGCCGGGCTGCTGCCTCGGGAGGGCCGCGCCTGCGAGAGACTCGCCCGGCCTTGTGGTCCCAGGGAGGCCAGGGCCCAGGCCACCTGGGAGGTGGGAGTCATTCTCTGGGGTGGAAAGAAGAGAAACCTATTTAGCCCGAGGCCCCTGTTTGGCCTCCCTGCCTCCTTAGACACGTGGCTCAGCGCCCAAGGAAGCTTGTCTCGGGCAGGGCGCTGAGTCTCCAGCCCCCGCCGCCTCAAGACTCTCAGTGTCCGGCATCAACTGGCGAGGCCGGCGCTCGCTGTCCGTGGTGCTGACCGGCACGCAGGGGAATGGGGGGACGGTAAGGGCAAGACGAGCCGCGGACTAGGCCTCGTCTGGGTCCCCCGCATAATTTGGAAGCGGGGTGTGATCTACTCTGGGGGCCAGTTACAGGGTCTGGCCGGAGACCCCAGAACGCCGGCTTCCGCTTGCCCTCCTAGGAGACAGACCTGGACTCTGTCCCGGCCCCCGGCCCCACCCCCGGCCTGCAGCCCGAATCCCCATCCAGATTTGTGAATTAGTTCGTGGGGGTGGGGGGGCGGCGGGAGGGAGGCGGGGGCGGCCACCCATTGGCTGGGATTTGGCGCAGTCGGCGCGGTGCCGTCATCTCTCTCGGTTTGGACTGAGCAGGGGCGGAGCACCGGGGTCACCCCGCGGCTGTCGCCATAGTAACCAGACTGAGCGCGCGGCTGCGCCGCCCCTCCGCTCTCGCGTCTCCAGCTGGAAAAACAATCCTGGTCTGCCTGGTTGGGGACTAGTCAACAGGACTGCTCGGTCGGCGTTACCTGCGCTAGAAGAGCCTAAAGTGGGAGGGAAAGAGACGAGACAGCCTACGGACACCCCCGAACATCCTGCCCTCGGGGGTGGGGGGCTGTAGGTACTGCCCGGAGCCGAAGGACGCGGTCCCTGTGCAGCACACACACGCGCGCCCCTGCAGGAGCCGGCGCTCTGGACTCGCACACCCAGAAGGAGAAGAGACTGGGTGCGGAGTCGGAGCTCACTTTCCCTGCCGCGCCCCCAGGCGGGAGACTCTGCCGAGATCCGATTAGGGGCGAAGGGCGCGCCTGCAGGGAAGAACTAGCCACCGGGTCAAACTGGATCAGACTCGGGCTCTGCGGGAGAGGAGGAGGCTGTAAGGAGAAGGGCTCAGAACTGTTTTCTGCAGAGGCAAAGTGAGGAGCAGGGAAGCTTCTTAGAAACAGAGTGCAGGGCCTCCTGTTCACCTCCCAGAAGTAAACCTCGGCAACGTGAGTCCAGGCTCGGGAAAGAGGTGATGACGAGGACCCGGAGCTCTAGAGAGAGCCCAGCAGGGGTGAGCTGTGGACTGAGGAGAGAAGGGAGATGGAGGGTAGGAGCCCGGAACTGGGCTGGAGCCATGACTCAGCACCTCGGCGAGGGAGGTGGGGAGTGACTCTCCCGGTACAGGGCAAATAGGGATCCGACCATTTGCGTAATACATGCAATGCACTGATATACAACAACAACAAAAAAACACACACACATTTTAACCCAGAAGTAAGTACGTATACATGTCTACTGATGAAGATTTGTTCAATTGTAAAGTAAACAGCTCTCCACTCCCCTTTTCCCCGCCCCTCTTCCTGGACCAGAAGACGTCCTGTCCTGAGAGCTATGGTTGCCTGTCCCGGGAATACCTTGGTGCTTCATGGGTAGGGGGAACAAAAAATTGCAGTTTGAGGGTGGGGGGATTGTCATGGTAACTGCTTTGCCTGCCAAGCTGGATGCTCAGCAACCAGAGCATCTGGCAGTATCCAAGGGCACATCCTGTGGCCTCTACCCACAGGGACTGTGCTGCAGGCATTCAGATGGGCATCTCCGGCAGATTTTTACAACAGGGGCTATTTTGACTGGGTATGGGCGCCTGACCTTCATGGGGCCCACTTTAAGTGGTGCTGCTGACCCCTTTATATATCATAAACGATATTTGCGGAGAGTGGCCTCAGGGGTTAACACTTTAAAGACCTTTGTTAAGAACATAACCTTGCCTCTCAGCACCTTGCCAGATACCCTACAAAAAGGTCATCTATACCTACACAGGCTAGATATGGAAATGAGGGGTAGAAAAATTGTTTTAGTTCACGTGATGCGAGATTGGGTATAAAATAGACCACAGGGCACAGTCTCAGGATTCAAGTTCCTTCGATGAAAGTTTTAATCCAGGGGCGGTCTGTCTGTTGGACCTGCAGACTAGCTGGCTGATTTTTCACTTCAGGACCCCTCTTTTTTCTTGGGATTCAGGTTTAACCTCTTAATTTCTGACTTAAAATGTCCCCAATCCAGTTTGGACTTTCAAGATGTTTCCCCCCCTGGATTTTCCCCACTATTTCTTAAGCAATGACCTGCTCTCAAATTCTCTTTCTACTTGGAGACATTGCCCACGTTGTTCCTTCCCTCTCTTAAGACTCCACTTTCTCATTTCTTTACATCCCTTGGTCATAGTCTCCTGTGATTAGCACTTAGCTTAAAGCTCATAAATCATAAAATTAGTCTCTCTGGGTCAGAAGGAAGGTCAGGTGATAAACAATATAAATAGGAAAAGAGGTATTCCTTTCTTTTTTTGGTAGAATTTTATTTATTTTTAGAGAGAAGGAAAAGCAGAAAGAACATCAATGTGTGGTTGCCTCCTGTGCGCCCCCTACTGGGGACCTGGCCTGTAACTCAGGCAGGTGTCCTGACTGGGAACTGAACCGGTGATCCTTTGTTTTGTAGACCAGCACTCAATCCATTGAGCCACACCAGCCAGGGCTGAAAAAAGGTATTTCTTAATAATCTTTTACCATTTTACTCCTTTTAAACAATAATTTCTATGTTTTCCCAGAAAAAAACCCATGGAATATCAAGAAAAGCCTAAGAAAGAAGTGTAATGATGAAGGGCTTGTCCTATCAGATATTAAAATGAGCTATAGAGCTAAGTAGCTAAAATATATGGCACTGGTACAGGAATAGACATATCCATAAAACAAAATAGATAACCCAAAGCTAATCTTCAGCAATCATGGGAATTTAATACAAAATAAAGGCACCTCTTCAAATCTATTGGGAACAGATGGATTTGTTAGTTAATGGTTTTGCCACAACTGGGTAGTCTAGTCATTTATATTAAGAAAAAGGTCAATCCTTCCTCATCCTTTACCCCAAGATTTCAAATTGATTTTAAAAATTAAATAAAGAAACTTCTGCCAAGATGGCGGCATAGGTGGAGACGCCGTGCTTCCTCACACAACCAAGTTTAGAGACAACTAAATAATAGCAACAGAAAACACAGCCAGAACACAGAAAATTGAACTTCTCGGAAGTCTGATAACAACAAATTCTTCAGCCTGACTGGTAAGAGGGGTGAAACCAGCAGCTGGCAGAGCGGGGTAGCACAGGAAAACTCGGTCAGACGGACTCAGGCGCGTAGAACCCAGGCCCAGGGTTGGACCTGGTGGGCAACTCAGCAAGCAACCGCGGGGAAACAGCGAGGGAGCAGGGCTGCGGGTTGACTGTGGTCGTGCATTGGTGTGTGGATAGACAAGCGAGGGAGTGGGCGATTGGATGGGAGCCAGCAGCCCCAGCGGCAAGGGGCAGCGGAGGGCACCGCCATTTCCCGCTGTAACCCCGCCTCCACATACAGCGTCATAATCCAGCGACCGGAGTGGCCCCGCCCCAGTGAACAACCTAAGGCTCTGCTTCTCACCCAGCCTTGAGAAACAGCAGAGGGGGCCGCCATTTCCCCGCTCTGACCCCGCCTCCACATACAGAGTCACGACCCAGCGACCTGGGAGTCCAAGGCTCCGCTCCTCACACTTAAAGAGCACAAACAGACCAAAAATGGCTCAAGAAGATCTCAAAGCCCCAGAGCCTATAAATCTAAGTGATGAAGAAATAGCAAAACTCTCAGATGCACAGTTTAAAACACTGGTGATCAGGATCCTCACAGAACTGGTTGACTATAGCCACAAATTAGACAAACGTATGAAGGCGAAAGTAATTGAAATAAATGAAATTGCACAGGAAACCAATAGCGATGAAAAGGAAATTGGGACTCAAATCAATGGAGTGGACCAGAAGAAAGCAAATAATGGCCAAACAGAAAAGAGTGAAGAAGCAAGAATTCAAAAAAATGAGGAGAGTCTTAGGAACCTCCAGGACATCTTTAAATGCTCCAACATCCGAATTATAGGATGTATCAGAAGGGGGAAAGGAACAGCCACCAGTGGAAAACTTATTTGAACAAATAATAAAGGAGAATTTCCCCAATCTGGCAAAGGAAATAGACTTCCAGGAAATCCAGGAAGCTCAGAGAGTCCCAAAGAAGTTGGA